CATTTGCCAAGAAATTCTCTGAGCTCGATCGCCCGTGAGCGCTAAAAAGGTTTCCGGCGCACATCAAGGCTGCTGCTTTGACTGAGAGTTGAACTCAGGACCTCCCGCTAGCTACTCCACGTGTCCAGGGGACCCGCTGACGTCGTCACGACCTCGTACTAAACGGGTGCTCTAACCAACTGAGCTATCAAAGCCGTTGGAATGCTTGGGGTTGCCCTTCAAAGTTTCTGAAGTAAAGAAAACCCCGACAGAAGCTGAAAGAGACGGGGGGGCTCCGCCCCCCCGCACCCCCCCGCTCCCGCTTCTCCCGGGCATTGCTTCGGGCCTTCGGGCCTAGACTTGACCCCCGGGGAGTCCATCCACCCCTCCTTACCCGGGGGCAGCCGGCAAAGCAGCACATGCGTGCTGTACCTCAGCAGCACAGTCCAGCTGCCAGCTGTCAGCCCGATTGTGTGGGCGCCTATTTAGCATGAAGGAGAACAAAATAGCAACAAAAAACAGGGGGGCTACTGCCCCCCCCCCCCCTCTCCTTTGCTTCATGTGCACATGCATCTTTCCCAAGCATGCCCTGCTTCGGCCGTAGCAAGCTAGGACCCGGGGGACCCCGAAAGAGGTGTGCATTCCAGCATACCTATATGTGGGCGAACTCAAAAGGTATACCGTCAACTCGCCAACTTGCAAAGATACCGTACTCAAATCCCCTTGTCCTCGTGAATGCCCGGGACCATGCAAGCAGTCGCAGATACACTGCCCCCGGCTGCCCCGGCCACCGGTAAAGCATGTACGGTACCCTATACGGAATATATGTGTTTGGCATAGATTTATATCCTGATAGTAATGTGACGATATTAGTACTTGGCTGAGGGCTTCTTTGTTAAGGATATTGTCTCTGCGGTCCGTATGAGATTTAAATCCCTGACATTCGTTCTCGCAGTCGACCCCTACAAGTTCGGACGATCGATTGCAAGTTGTTAATTTTAACGATTCAAAGCGGTCGAGCGTCAATATCGACTGCCGTAAAGTTACGTCAGCGGCCGTCACTTTGCGCGCTAGCGAGAACCGTCGAGTCAACAAGACCTTCGAAAATTTTGTGCGCCTGGTCGATTGGGGTTGCTCGCGTTCGAGCAAATTGCCTTGCATTCGTCAGATGAGTCTACTGCCGATCGGACGGTCGATAAATTTTTTAAGCTTTATGATAATCAGTTCGACTCCGAAGAGAGTACGTTTCATGGCGATGAGTACAATGAAGTACGGAGTCTGGAAAACTTCAGGGAACTTCGATACGAGCAGATCCCGATACCGTACCTCACCTGGCAACTAGGACTATCTACAGCTAGGTACATACCAGTACAATGGTTGGTCCCTTCACTCAGATATGTAGGTAGTCGGCACTCGCTTATGCCACCCGATACGGGTACATGATTACCACAGCCTTATATGTAACATGCTTGCTTATAGGCAGTTCTCTTACACACTAATATTCCAACAAACCATTCTAGCCAATATTAGTTCTTGCTATAAACCAAGCCAAGCCCAGGCCTAATAGTGTCATCATGTTTATTACATGGGAAACGCTAGTCATTCACTTATCGCCCGCGGAGGGCATTGGCCGCTAGGCCAATGTCCCACGCCCCTCAGCTTTGGGGAACATGGTTCTGTCGGGCTATAGGGATCCAATATCCCCACCCTTAATTACTATGCGGCCGAGCGTGCAGCTCAAAAAGTTTCCCGCCAAAAATTTAAAGCTGGCTATCGAATCATGCCATCATCATGTCACGGTCTGCCACCGCCGGTTTGAATGCACCCAGCTCCCCGACCACAACTTGAAAGAGGCCGGTGACTTTTAAACAAAGCTGACATCCGATCAGTGTTTCCCCCGGTGGCCCACTCCCTGCTAAAAAGACCATCAATGGTCCAAACGGGCCACCAATGGGGGGGTGGAGGTGGCCCAACGGGCCACCATACGGAGGGCCAAGGTAGCCCGGTGGGCCATCAATCAATGCACCGAACTGGCCTGTCTTAGAACTTCAAAGGCGTATACGCTGGAAATCTTCACAATATTTTTGAAAATGACTGCCAAAATAGCATATAATACACTATATTTGAAGGAAAACCCTTTCGAGCTGGGCTGTTTTCCTTCTGTAACCCACCAAACTTTAGCCCGGGGTCCAGAACAAGTAAAGTATAGCACTACGACAGACATGGCATATGCGCTCTATTATCTTCTCAATTTTTCAAGTCTGATCGTTCAAGCTAGCGGTCGAAAATCCTAAATTTGCTGTGGAGTTGGGCCACCAATGGTCATGGTCGGGTGGCCCGTTGGGCCACTAACTGAAGGACCCGGGTGGCCCTCCGGCCGTCAATCTAAAAAGTTAGGGGAAACACTGCATCCGATCATCATCCGATATTGACAAGCCACAATTAAATCCAGGCTTTTGCTCAAACCCGGTTCGTAAGGGTGCCCGGGGCTGCAAGTCCCCGAGTTCGCCGAGGGGAACGGAATCTGCTCAAAGAACCGCGTCTGGACGGAATCTGCCCACCCGTGCCAACTGAATCTTCCAACCGCCTTCCGCGCGATTGCGTTGCCGTGGCGACTTGAAATAAACGGTTCAGAATGGCCCGGTGGGCGGATTCCAACCAACCAGGGGCTCGCAAGGCCTGCTTTCGGAAGGTTCGCCAATCGCGAAGCGCCAGGTTGGCGGCCGATATCTTGGGGTGGGGCCCGCAGATGCGGACACCTGTCAGACGTGCGAGGCGGCGCATCTCCGCTGGGAATAAAGTGCGGCCACGCCATGATTCCAGCCCAGCTTCTCACGTTGCTGACTCGGAGGCGCCCGGGAGTCAGGAGGGAGCAGTCGACTTGAACAGGGATGGCGCCAGGAAAACTTGAAGCAGCAGTAGGAGGGTCCTTGTAGTTGTATAGCGCGCCGTGTCTCGTCTCAAAGCTGCTCTTGCTGAAGAATAGCTCCTGGCCATTGTTTGTCGTTCAATCCAGCTTAGGTTTGCGCTGCGCTTTTCTTCTTTCACATTTTCGTGTTGTTATTGTTCTCCAGAAGACGAAGAATTTGATCCCGCTTCTATCTGTCTAATTTAGTGCAGCCAAATTGAGGGACTCTTTCCGAGTTTGAAGTTTAAACTGTTGCTGCTGAAAGACACCGAGGCTAAAAGTTACTGTGGCTGACAAAAGTGCTCGCATTGCAAGTCCGGATCTGCATCTGGGAACTGCATGTGCTCATATCAGGCGCAGAAAGCTCTTATTGCTTCGGAGGACCTCTCGGACGACAACTTTTAATATACATGGGAAGCAATTGACGGGTAGTCATTAATTGCTTACTCTTTAGCAATCATAACAGGTACACAATTATAAGGTATCGTCCAGCTGGCACGGCCATTGTGAGACAAGACTTGCAGCATGGCTCAGTCAGCAGTTCTACTCAGCGGATTTAATGTCAGCTCTTTGGGAACAGCTTCGCAGCGAATCAAGTCTCTCCGAAGAAAAACTCGCGAGCTGGGACTATTTCAGGGGGGCAGCGTATGCCGGGAGCCCTCCTGCACCAGGGACAGCCCCCCGCTGAAGTGTCACGCAGCCCTTCTGCCTGAGTTGGAGAGAGAGCAGCCGAGGAATTACCGGCCTACGGCGGTTGCTGTGGCTCCACCCCCCAAAAAAGATAGCGCGGTGCCCGCAAGGGATGTAGATCTGGTCGAGGGAGGTGCGGTGATTGTCAGGGACGATCTCGACATGCTGCTGCAGGTGGGTTCTACGAGTTGTTTGATGACGGGATTTCTTGCGAAATGCGATTCGTTCAAATGTGCAACAAGTGACTGGATGTGTGCCGCTGTGATTGAACAGCCCCTGCTACTCTATGCTTTTGGAGTTTGTGTACCTGCTCTCGTTCGTTTTTGGTAGATTATTTCCAGAAGGTTTTTCAGTTTGTGGTCTCGGCGCAAATTGCCAGATCTCAGAATCCTTGCTCTTGGCAAGTGCAATCATCAATTTTGCAATTGAGGAGCTGTGGCCTTTTGCGGATGTTCGTATGCGCTTAGTATCTGAGCGTGCAAGTTGGTGCCGCATGCAGAGTGCTTCTCAAATAGTGTTTCACGCTTGCAAGAAATAAGAGGTTCAAAAGTCTAAGCAGCCAAGCCCCTGTCCATCCTAGGTTAAAATACAGAACCCATCCGCTTTTCTTTTGGTTGATGCTGCACAATGCACTTCATCAAAAATCCAATGAAGCACATCTGAATTGAAGGTAGGTGGCGCCCACAGAATTAGACACAGATCAGGCTTCTGTTTTGATGGGTCATCATGTATTTCAAGTTCATGGTGAACTTGGTCTTCTGTTTCCGTCAAAGGTACATGAACTGGGGTTCAATTGAAAGCTTGTTTCTACTTTTAAGTCGATCTATAGCAAAGTTGAAATTAAGTGAACCCTGAGCACCTTGTCGCTCTCTCGAAGAAAATTCAGTTGCGATTTCCATCTAAGATCCTTCCGAGACGAGCGTACTTTCCTCAGATGAAAGTTGGTCTGTAAAGGGAAGCCAACGGTGCTTTTTATACTGAAGCTGAGTCAGTCATAAAGTACAAAGTCAAGCCGTTTTTTACAAAATGAAGGAGATAGAATCAAGGAAGCAGAATTTTTTTGCCCTATCCACTACAGGTGCTACCCAGCGACATCCGCAATAAGTTGTTGCGGCATGGGCGGCGAGCTGAGCTTTTGGAGGTGGTCCTTGATCTGGGGCGCCGGCCAGAGGCGCGCTTCCTTGACCTGGGAAACGGCCAAGGCGGGGGCGAATATCTGCGGGACGAGGAGGTACGGCGGACCCCCTGGAGCAAAAACTTTCACGAGGGTGCCGATGTTTGATCTGCGGCTGATTGGTATCATGTATCCTTCTAATGAGCGCAGCTGCGATTGCAAAGTGCCTTACTGAGTAACCTGATGAGTGTGCCCACGTACGACGAGTCAGGAAACAGCAAATCTGCTTTCGTCCTCTGTCAAAACGCATGTTTTGTAGAGGATCCAGAGGCTTTTGTTATTTGCTTCAGTCGTCATCCCCCTATTCACCCTCCGCTCCTGGGGAGAAAGGCAGTGTCTCATCGTCTGATATTACTGTTAAGAAGGTTCTGAATTCTGCACATGAGTTTGTGGGCACCAATAAGGCGCCCAGTTGCAAACAGTCTGCCTTTGAAGGAATTAGAGCAACATCTGACAGATTGTAATCTCTTTGATTGGTTTGCAATGGCTCTCATTGTAATCGGAGATTGACCTTTTGGAGCGTTGCCAAACATCGAATTTGGTTTGGCATGTCCTTTTACGATTTTCTTTCAGCGTGCTCATCATGCTTCTGCAACCTGCCTGCCAACTTTGCTTCAAACCAGTTCAAGCAACATCGCGAGCCTCCACTCCAATGTATACTCGCTATAAACGTTTCACCATCCTGCGGTTGTAGTACCCATCCTCCTGACCTTCGCCATCTTTCCAAACCTTCGCTAAAACCTGCTCAGGATACCAACCCCCAACCTACTCCTTGATTGTCCTTCTTAGATCAATTTCACAACACCGTGCAACGTCAACCTGCTCAGGACACCAACCCCCAACCTATTAATTGATCGTCCTTCTTAGATCAATTTCACAACACCGTGCAACGTCCTCCTTGACTTTCTCTTTAACCCCACTTTTCAGGTAACCCGCGCAGACCTGATTGCCGCCCAGGAAGCGGTGGGCGATTTTGGAGGCGACAACCGCGCAGGCGTCGAGGGAACGCTGCACCGCATCTCGGCGATCAGGAACAGGCGTGAGGACGTTGTCGGGCTCACGTGCCGAGTGGGGCGAGCAGTTACGGGTCACATTGATATGGTCCGTGACATTCTGAGCAGCCAACAGGGGATCCTGTTCCTTGGGAGGTGCGCCAGCTGTCGCCTCTTATTTACTCGTTTCCTTATTGGTCAAAAGGTCAAGAGGGCTTACTTCTCAATATCTTGCCAAAGTCGTACCAAGCTGCTCTGTGGAGTACTTCTTGGAGGTCCGATGCTTGGATGATGTCAGCGCGCCAGTCGCTCTGCAACAAGGGCTTTGCTCATAGCTTCCCAGTTCTGGTTGCAGAAATGTTCAAATCAAGTTGGCCTTAAGTCAAAAGCGCGGATGCTGAGTCCTTTTTTGCGTCTTCTTTGTATCCCGCATACAGACTATCACCTCCTTTATGGGGTTGGATATCTGCTGTTTGAAAAGCCTTATCTCCATTCACACGCTTGGTGTCCCTTTGCAACTTCATTCAAGGGCCCTGGTGTCCTTTTTAGCGCCTGTGTTGGTGGGTGATAAATTCTCTTTTTGATGAAAGACCGGGAGTCGGCAAGACGACCGTGATCCGTGAAATGGCGCGCGTGCTGGCAGACGACTTCCACAAGCGTGTTGTTATCGTCGACACGAGCAACGAGATTGGCGGCGATGGGGACGTGCCGCATCCAGCCATCGGCGGGGCACGGCGGATGCAGGTGAGAGGACTCTCAAGATGAGGTCTGAATTTAGTTTCTGGCGATTGGCAAAGTCCTGGAGAGTTGTGGGACTTTCGTTGGAGCCCCAATCATGGCACTTATCCTCCCTGCAAAGCGTTTTGTCTGATTGTTAGTTCTGTGAGGCAGCCCAATAAGGCGTCTTCTGTTCGACTCCTGCCTGTTGCACCTTTTATCAAGCCGCCCACAAAGTCATGGCTTTTGTGCATGCTTCTGACCTGTTAAATCCTTGCTCGGCTTGCACTTCAGATCTTCGCTTGCAACTAACTCCGCGACCTTCACTGCCCCCCCGAACTCTCGAACAAGGCGTGCTTGTCCTTGCGACTTCCCCCGTTTGCAACCCTGGTTTGGACGTCCGTCAGAGTTCATATTTCCACCCGTCTGCAGGTGCGCGACCCGTCGCAGCAGCACCGAGTAATGATTGAGGCGGTGGAAAACCACATGCCGGAAGTGGTAATCGTCGACGAGATTGGGACGGAGGCGGAGGCGCTCGCGTGCCGCAGCATTGCAGAGCGGGGGGTGCAGCTAGTGGGCACTGCGCACGGCCAGATGCTCGAGAACCTCATCAAGAACCCGACGCTGTCCGACTTGGTGAGGGGGCAGTATTCTTGTTTTGGAGGCGGTGACTGCATGATTAGGGTGGACTTGATTGAAGTAGTGGGATGGACTCAGTAATCGGTGTTGAAAGGATTGATTCCAATGCGAGGTATCATACTGCTGGTTGCGGTTCGTGCCTGTGTTGCATTCTGTGGTCAGTTGTAGCTTCTGCAAGCCGTGTTGCATCAGGGGCACCCAGAGAAGTCTCTTTTTTCGTTACTTATCCAAGTCCATGCGGCTCAGTTCTCTACGAGCCAAGCAGCCCCTGTTGCAATATCTTGTCTCACTTTGTCGCGGGTCGTTCTCTGGCAGCTTTCTTTTGTTTCATTACAAGAAAGTCAAGTCCCGCCTCTTTCGAACCCGAACCCACTCTTTTCTCGCTCCTCTGCCGCCTCTTCGCTTCACCTCTCCAAACAACTCCATATGAATCAACAACGAAAAACAACTCGTTCCCTCTTCCTCAGGTGGGCGGCATTCAGAGCGTGACACTAGGTGATGAGGAGGCGCGCAACCGCGGCACCCAGAAGAGCGTTCTGGAGCGCAAGGGTCCGCCCACGTTCCCGCTGGTGGTGGAGATGCGCGAGCGCAACAACTGGGTCGTGCACCAGACGGATCGCAGCGTGGATGCGTTGTTGCACGGCAAGAGACCCACCGTCGAGGTGAGGACCGTCGTTGCTGCGGAAGATACTGACATGGCTTTGAGGCTGTTATCTAAGAGGAGAAGATATGGCTCTTAAGACGGCCATTTTTGAAACCCCGAATTCAAGACGGACTTGTCTAATTTCGTTGGCGGCTCTTTAGCCTGCTTGAAACCCGCAGCCCCCTACCGCTTAGTAAAGCCGCCTGTATGACAGCTGTCACACGGCTATGCCAACAGGGAAAGGTCGTCAGTGGAGGCCTGCAAATCGACCATGGTTGGCAAGGGCTTCCAAGTTGAGCCTTCAAAGTGCGTACTCAATTTCGACCTCTTAACATCGATCATTCCTGTTTTATGGCGATTGTCTGGGGAGGCTGGGAATTTGGAGAATTAGTAAGTCAGGTCATCCCACACATTTTGGGACCACCCAACTAATCCGATGTACCCAGTCCCTAAATTCCAATAACTGCGGGTGTCACCTGGCGGTCCACGGACCCTTGTTCCGTCCATAATCGTGATCAAAACTGACGCAACGTCAGTTGCTGCTTTGTGTCTGGGACCCCAGTTCGAGCAAAGTTGCCCGTTTTGTCTTTCCTCTATGTGAACACATGGGCCAAGATGTTTGAGGTCCTGGTGTACCGAGTAACCCGTACCAATCGTCCGGCTGGGCAATTTTTGCCCAATATTTAATTCTGTGTCCTATAAAAGTTGGGCAGCTTCAATTACGAATTTTTCCCTATATGCTTAGGGCCAAAATGATCTGCAAATATGATATTGGAAATCCTTTTATATCCATTTTACCAACAAAAGTTTGGGCAAGTCAAAGAATATTTAACGTTGCCCAAGTGGACAATTGGTACGGTAATCTGACTCAGCGTCGATTCGCCACCTTCTGACGCTTTGGAGACGTGTAACACTTTGCATCGTCCCCTCCCTGCAAACAGATGCGCACGCGCGACGCCAAGACGTTCGAGGTGGTGGTCGACCGGCGGTCGTACGACAGCTGGGGCAACGGCAAGCTGGACCACGAGTTCGACTATGCGAGCGCCACCGAGGGCTCCACCATGATGAACACGCTGCGCGGGCGCCAGGCCAGCCGGCAGAGCAACCTGCTGGAGAGTACCTACGAGTGGGCCGTCAAAATGGGTGAGCGCCCGTGTTGGTTCCTGATCTAACAATGATAAATCCATCTTCTGACATCTTTCAGAAGATGTAAGATCTTTCAGAAGGCCGATATGACTAGGGCAGCCTGCTGGAGAGTACCTACGAGTGGGCCGTCAAATGGGGGAGCGCGCGGGTCGGGCTTTCACAAGGGTCCGGTGTTTTGTTTGTAGTTTTCTAGATGTTTAAGTGCTTCAGTATATTGTAAAGGGCACGTATGAGTGGGTTGCCGTATTGGTGAGCTTAACGGAGATCTGTGCGGGCTGTTTGTGCGACGCTCATGGAGACGCGCAAACAAGTCGCTGGGAAGCGCCTGCGAGTGGGCCGTCAAAAAGGGGGAGATCCAGGACATAGACGCTTCCCTGTGTGTTTCTTATTGCGGAAGTACAGTGGTGCGCAAACAAGCTGCTGGGGAAACGGAGCAGGCCTGGTAGCCGTTGCAAGACAAGCCGAAATTCTTTGCGCCGTTCCTAAGTTTATAGCGATTCGTATGTCTTGAGGTTGTTGTAGGACCCATCTTTTGAACCACGTGTCGTCCGTGTTGCTCGCAGGCAAGGTGCCCGCAGACCGGGAAGCCTTTGGCGACCCGTCAATGGACGATTTGATGGCGGCTGCAGGTTACGACCAGGCGTACCACTCGCCGACTCCCGGGAAGCGCGGGTCGCGGCGCGGCAGCCGCGGGTCGTTCAACAGCAGCTACCGTCCTTACGAGGAGTTTTAGGCGGTCCCTCAGAATGCAGAGAATTGAAAGTTATGCGGACGCTGGGGACTCGCAGCATAGCAGGATGCCTTTTGCCGCCCACACCGTAATGCAGTTGCATGTTTGCTGGCGCTCTTCGGCCAGCCCACGTGCCAAACAGACTAGGTACAACCCGGGCCTCAGTCTCGGTCGCACATGTAGATAGTGTATAGACACATTCCGTTGAACATTCTGGCTGCTTACCAGGAAAGAACGTGCATGCTTTCAGAGGCCCCCGGTCGGGCGCTTAGGCAGCGGTTCGAAAAATTATAAGCGAAGGTGCCTGGCTCGCTTTATGCCTTGCAGCTAGGGCGTATTCATGTACATAGGTTTTACTGACCGCTATTGTTTAGCTTGGCCACTGGGTTGTCGACAGAAGCCTGTGTCGCCATCAAGTTTGAAAGTTTGGCGGCAGGAGCTGGTTTGGTACGTCAGTGCAAGCAGGTTGAACCAGGTTAACAGCTCAGAACGTTCTGGGCAAAGGGACAACGCTGGTGGATCAATGCATTGTGGACAAAGAGAAAGACCAATTGAATAAAGGCAGCATTATACATGGACAAAGATTGCATATGCCGCACCAAGCGTTTCGCCTTGAGCCCCTCATGATCTGACTTCCTAGCTTGGCCGTCTCTTATGAGTCATTCATTACTTATAGGCCACCGGCTATATGAAGTATCTGGTGATTTGCTAAGTTGAACTGAACGCACGCAAAGCTCAGGCTGAAATCACTACACGGTTAAGTGAACCTTCATATATGTCAGGCATGACCAGGCTAGGTCTCAGTACCGTACGTACCAGGGCAACTGACCATGCAACTTGCAACCGTCAAAACATCGATTGAAGCACACATGCTGGCACTGCATGTGTGCATGATTTTAAAGCGGTACGTATCATGTGTTGGTCTGTACGATTATATCATGCACACTGAAGTGTGGCCCTCTAATATGGCGGCAGCTTCACAGCAACTCGGAGTGAGTCCATGTTTGCGGAATGAAATTGTCGATTAGTATCTAGCTACTGCAATGTACAGATGCACGATCCTTCATGCAAGCACATGCATGTGCTCTCCGGGGGCCGCCGCGAAAGCGCGCATATATCAGTGGCCGGTGTCGCCAATTAGGGACGTGTGCAATTGACTTTGCCAGCGATATCCAACCAACGTACAATGGACCGTGCACGCATCATCGATCGACCGCGCGTGGCCCGCGGCAAAATTTTGCATCAAATAAACTCGATTCGAAAATTGTAATCGTCTATAGACAGTAACTTGACATATCCGATCAGCTAGGTAAATTAAGCGCCGCACGCGCATGTGCATTAAAGCTTGGTAGTCACTAGAGTGATTTTGGGAAGGCGGCATGGCCGCGCCGCTGCTGCCTAAGTTCGTCCGAGTGTGTAAGTTGGCACGGCTATGCATGCATGCTTCAACACATGTCATGATCTTTGGTGGCCCGAGGCCGAATGCGCAATCGGCTACATGAATATTCAGCTAGCTTGAAGTGATGTGCAACCGTAAATGGTGGTGCACAGGGGCTGGCGCCCGCACCGTCGTGCCCGGGCCGGCCAGCATGAGCAATGCTGGATCCGACACCTGGACAAATCCTGGTTGTGTTGACAAATTGGCAAATCCTGACTCATAGGCTTACATGCATGGTATACCAGTGTGGTAGATATGGCATGCATGACAAGGATGGTACCATCGGTCGCAGATGTTACTCATACATCCACTGCTACCCTGCATAAGTATCACGTCCCTTACTTGCGTCGGTGGCAAGTGCACGTTGCGCTTATAATGGTTGCTTCACCTTAGCTCTTGGCGGGGCAATTCGGTGCCCCAACACAAGGGACTTCTCGTGGAGCAATACATCCTTAACAAACCCAAGTGCGTAGGTGGATTAATGCAGCAGTCCAAAAACACGACTTAGGTCTTACTCTCAGCAGGTTTGACGGCCAATCTGAAGTATCGTTAGAAGAGCAACTTCAGAATGTCTGCTCTGGAACGGGAGATACAATCAGCTTTTCAAGGCCGGGATTGGCTGTGGGGTATAGGAGCCGTCTTTTGCTGAGTACAACCTCAAGCCCGATGTGTCCGCACTCCTGGAAACAGGGAACGAAGCGGCTATGAGTTCAGCATGGCCATGCGCAACTCAAATGACAGGTGGCATCATTTGCCATATCGAAGGACGGGCACGAGGTGCCGACCAAGTACTACGGAACCTTCTCAACACCCAGTGTCGAAGTACCTAGAATCAAGACAGTCAAACGAACAAAGACGAAAGAGGAGGAAAAGAGAATAAAATCAAGGAAGTGCGCCCCACCTCAGGATAGCGGGGACGCTGTCTTCATCGAGCAATCGCAGAATCAGGGCACCCAAAGGAATGAAGAGGAAAGAGGAGGGAGATAGAAACGGAAAACGATCCCCCCCTTACCTCAGCAATCCGGGGACCCTGTCCTCGTCGAGTACTCTGTTGATGGCATTGACAATCATGAGTGCCAGACGACATATATTCTGAGGCAATTAAACGAAAAAGGACGAAAGAGAAGGGTATAGAAAAGAGAAACCAAGTGCTGAAGTATCTACTACCCGAGCAATCGACCGAACAAGGACGGAAGAGGAGGAAAACAGGAACAAAGTAAGAGGTGCGCCCCACCTCAAAATAGGGGGGTCGCTGTCGTCGCAGAGCGGTCCCCGACGACGCTGACGTCGAAGTCTCGAACTATCTACAATCAGGGCAGTATAAAACGAACGAAACCGAAAAGAAAGGGAAGCAGGAACAGAAAAAGAGATCCGCCCTACCTCAGAATAGCGGGTACGATGTTCTCGTCGAGCAATACCCCCATGGCCATAACGATCCAAGTGCCGCACTACCGAGAATCGTACAAACAGAGACAAAACAACCAGGCAAGCACAAACGGAAAAGAGAGGCGCCCGACCTCAGAATAGCGGGTACGCTATCTTCGTCGAGCGCCCCCCCGACGGCAATAACGGTCCGAGTGCCGATCCAAGGTAAGTAGAATCAGGGAACCGAATAAAAGCGAACGACGTGTCAGGTGAAAGTACCCAGTATCAAGGCAGTCGAACAAACCAAGACGAAAGAGGAGGAATGCAGGAACAAAGTAAAGAGCTGCGCCCCACCTCAAAATAGCGGGTACGCTGTCGTCTCCGCGGCCTGAGACAGCGCTGAGGGTCCAAGTGCCAAACTATCTGAAATCAGGGGCAGTCAAACGAACGGAGACGAAAAGAAAGGGGAATCAGGAATAGAAAGAGAGCTGCGCCTTACCTCAGAAGATTGGGTATGCTGTCTTCATCGAGCATTCCCCCCACGACAATGGATTCTGAGAGGCGAATACCTAGAATCGTACGAACAAAGGCAAGATGAGGAGGAGAACGCGAACAGAAAAGAGATGCGCCCCACCTCAGAATAGCAGGTACGCTGTCGTCGTCGAGCGGCCCCCCGATGGCGATGACGGTTGGGTTCAGGTCGTGCCGCTCTCCCTTGCTGGGGCTCTTCTGGAACCCGTACTGGAGGCCGGTTTCGGGGCAGTTGGCGAACTCGATGATCTGCATGGAAACCCGAAAAGTTCTCGTCCTAGTTTCAAAGCCGCGAGCAAAGAGCAGGGAAGTAACGTAGTCACGGCTCTGCAACGAAACAGAAATAAGGAAGAGAAGGTGCCATCCTTCCTCGCGAGTTGGTACTGAGTTGAAGGAAGGATGCGGCTTTCCACTGCCAAAGGTCTGGTTCTGAACAGAGAATGTAGGAGATGGGAGCTAGTGGAGATAGAAAGCTGATGAGTCTCTTGTCGTGGTAAGACATGGGCCGTTCTGTGTCTTCCGCCTCGGAAGAACAGCTTTTTCGAAGTCTGCTATCTGAACGAGATGAAGTGCACAAGCTGTGCTCACCCGAGCCGGACTGCGTTGGCAAAGAAAAGGGACATCAGGCTGACGCGGTCTAGCTACTTACGCACATCTGCAGATTATGTGAGCTTCCAGACATCCCCCCAAGACATTACTTGAAAGAAACGCGCAAGGAGAACGTGCGGTTTTCCTGCCATCATCACTTAATATTGGACGGCGGTCGAATATTCACCCTGATTTCAAACTGGTCGCCAAGGGGGGTCCTAGAAACAGTGCTGAAATTGCACACTCTCCGACAATGGATCCTGACCGAGAACCATCTCTGCTATGTGGTTCAACATCAGTCAGTTGGATAATTTCCGATTCGCCACGCCCTCCAATTCCGAGCTTTAACGCACGATTAACATTCGCTGTGTGACCCCGTAACAACCCTGCCGAAGCGACTGCGGACAGCGCGATACAGACGGAAAGGCCAAAAAGTCAGGGCTCAAGAAACAGAGAACTAAAGAAGGCAAATGGGAACAAGCAAAGGTCCCCCAGCTCACCCCCCGTGCGAGTTCGACCAGCTGTCGCCGCCGCTCCTTTAACGCCTTCGCAACGTCCCCCCCGGTTTCGACCAGAATCTCAGCGATTGGCTTGAATCTGTTGACGTCCTCCTGGATGCAACAAGGAAAAGGCCCGAGTTTGGCTCGGTTGAAGCACGCAAGTTGAAGAGGTCGATTGAAATAAGAAACAAAGTCAGATTCATGTGTGAGCTCAAGAGGGAATCAGGTCCGGGGTCTTCAGGCGCGCTGTCGAACCTTGATGTGTCTCAAAAGTTGGTCTTCCAAGTTTCTTTGAGTGACTTAATCAGACGGAGCTTCCAACACAAGCATTCGTGCAAACCACCATCGTGGTTGCTGCAATGACCAATAGGTACATCCGGTAAACCTTCCGAAAGTGGCTGGTTTAAGGAGTCTGGTCCAAGTGGCCAGAAACGGTACAGCAGAAGGAAAGGGCAAAGAATAAAAATTCGGGTTCCGCTGCTTCTGGTTAGGCTTTAGCCACACCAATGCTAAAAGGCTCCAATAAACAGAGGCTCTTCATGGCAGCAAAACTACAACAGCCTGGGGCGGCCAGCCAGCAAGCAACTTTCGCAGCAGAACGTATTGTTATAAGGACCTTTTCGGGTCCCATGTTGCAATCACATTTTTTGGAGTCAAGCTGCCACCCACCTTGTCTTTCTCTAGCCTAGCAAACACTTGGAACGCCTCAACACCGGCGGCCTTGCTAACGTCAAGTTTTCTGTATGCACAGAAAGGTTCGTAAAGCAAGGTTCATCAGCTGACGGTCTATTTCTCGGGCCTTGTGGGGCTTCCAAGAAATCTCAAGGATAAGCAGAAATTATCCCTCTTTTAAACCGTCTTTATGCTCATCAGCATGCTCATCAGCTAAGAACACATATCTGAAAGAATCTGAGCGTTTTTTTTTTCCCTTCTTCTTTTTGAATTCTCTGCTCTATAATGCAAGCTCTTGCCTCACAGGGATCACTCGATGATCGCCCAATTATCCCTTCCTTCAATACAAGACGGGCAGGATATTGGCTCCGATCAGATGCGCACCGTGGATAGACAGGTCGACCACAATCAAGGAAAGGCTGCCTCCAGAAAGGGTTCATGGCAAGCAGGAAACCTCACTCTATCTTGCGCGGCTTTTTTGGGAGCGCCTGGCCTCCGGAGCCCCCCCGGCCCTTCGCTGTCGGCTTTGCCTGCGCCCGGCAGACATGACTACACCCCTTCCGAACGAGCACTGCACCCCTGCAAAGAGGTTCAAGTATACTCAGAGTTGGTGATTGATTACAGTACCTATGTTTTCTGTGAAGGTTTCAGCTCACGCCGGGTGGCAATAACTCCCTTTGTTACAAGGATGCCAAATGCAACTGTTCAGCTTTCTGAGAAAGAAAACTACTGTAGTTGATGGCTGTAAGCTGCCCTTTATAGGAGGTGATGGTTCGGCTCTAAATGCCCTTTGGTAGAATCGGCACGAGCTCGGAGGCTTGAAGGACTTTCGAGGAAATGCTGCTCCTTTTCTGAAGGAGTTCAGGCCTGAAAGAAGCATATTGTATTGCCACGACAGATTAGATGGCGGCCAATTCATACGAAAAGCCTGAAATGGAGCCTTTAGGAAGATTGCGCTTCAAACCGGGCATAGAAAAAAACAGGCGTCAGACTTGCCAGCCAAACAGAGTCTGCGCACGTTGACAGAGGAGCTGCCCAAGACCTGCTCGCTGTCAAAGATTAAGATGACCTCTGCTGTACTACGGGTGCTGAGACGATTGCAACTCCATCCATTCGTACGCGCAGCTCAGAGGGACAATTGATTCTCACCTTGCAGCTCGAAGCCCGTTGATGGGAGCACCAAAAGAGCTCGTTTTGAGTACGTCTCTGGAAGCAGATGAACTTTGCAATTCGAGGGAGGCCACTGGACTCAAATGAAGGACTGAAGCAACGGACGCCATCGCCATTGAACAATGAAAGCTGTCCAGAGACTCTGAGATGCGGGCAGCTTGCACAATGCAGCCGCGCGGCCGCCTTCAATGGTTGAAGCACACAACAAAATCCACGATCTCGGTCTCTAGGATCCTCCTACCCTAGACAGAGTGTGCAAGTCTGCACTGCGAACTCGGGCGTCCTGGACTACCTGAGCTCGGAGACCTACCGATCTCTCAATCGCGCGGGCCGCTCTATGGTGAACTGCCCGGGCCTGGCTACGCTGGAGGCTAACCGAAACTCGCTGACGGAAGTAGCAGAGTAACCTAGATGCCATGGGTGCCGAATCTAGGCCACCCATCCTAAGGGTACCGTCACTTTGTAGTGGCACCCGGTTAGGTATTTTGGAGGCACTTTGGCAGAAGGGTCTCAAGCCCCCCCCCCCTCCCGGCCTTGTCATTGCTGGCAAGGTCAAGGTCCGAGTCCAGTGGGCTACCAACCGGGCAATATTTTGGTTACAAATTACAATCATATACATGAATTCAGCCCCATTTTGGTGCTGAAAAGTACTTCTTTGTCTCGTTCGTGGGCTGAAAAGTCGGAACGTTGAACAAAATGAGGGTAAATCTGCATGAAAACGTATGCTTCTCACTTGAAACCTGGCTGGGGCTATGCCCCAAGCGAAAGGCCTCAAGCCCCCCCCCCCTCCCCACCTTTGCTTGGCTGATCCGAACCAAGCCCCCCCCCCCCCACAGAATACCTAAGGGGGTGCCACTTGAAAGTGACGGTACCCTATTAAAGCTCTGCTGCACGTCTAGCACAAGTGCCTAGGAACCCCCTAGGAACTCATCGAAGGAGGAGTCCAAACACCCGTATGTCTCGACCGCAAGGGGGATGAAGGTGTCATCAACGGGGTGATCGCCGTACTTCACCGTCTTCGCCTGCGCCGCATCCCGTG